TATATATATATATATATATGTGTGTGTATATTTTATGAAATTAATTAATTAAATACATCCTTAAAATTGTATTTAAGGGGATAGTAACCCTAAAGTGAATCTTTATCAATTTTTTTCAAACAAATATTTTTTTAAATGCCTTTACAGATTTAAAAATCCTTCTCTATAATTAAAATATAAACAGATCAACTTTATACCACAAAACGAAAAAAAGAGGGAAAATCACAGTTTTTGTTATCGATTTTTAACGTCGACTCGTAATAATGTTTACTTTATATATGAGTTTTATACTTGATACACTTCGTACGTATAAAACAATCTTGGTTTGGATTAGAGATTATGAATAACCAATGTTACTTAGAAGTACTTAGAATTAGATTTAGATACTTAATATGAAAGATCAGTTAGAAAATTTGTACGTATGTGTGAGTGCGATATTGATGTATGTAGTATATAAAGACATATCGATGTGCCGCATTTTATCGGTAAAACAGCAATCTCATCGAAGTTCGGATTTCACTTTAAGATCCTCTTAATTTTAAGAATGTATATATTTAAGAATGTACGTGTATAATCTCTCTATAAAAAAATTACTGGAATTGGAAATATATTTCCCAATAAAGTCGAGAAGTAAACAATATAAAAATGAATGTTACATACACATATGAAACAGTTCAATAAAATAATATTTATATTAGACAATACAATTTTATAGTGGAAATAAAAATGTTCCCACTTTATCTTAATTATTTCTTAAAAAAAAATATCTACCTTTTATTATAATAATTTTTTTATCTAGATTTTATAAATTGCTGCCATGTATTATTTTTAAACCAAATATAGAAAAACAAATTTTTTTTCCTATTTTTCATTTCATTATAAAATATATATAATACAATTAAAAATACATACAATAACAATTTAAAAAAGATACATATTATATAATTCTTAAACGATGTTGATATAAATAGAATTCTTTATGTATGTCAGTACGAATTATTATTTATAATTTGTACATACTGTATAATGATACTGACCATAACGTAAATTGGAGAACCATCTGATAGCGTACATACATAATACTTCTACCACTAACCGATTCAATTCCTCAACACCGTCAAAGTGACGTCCCCATGGGCGTCATTGACGATTTATTGTCCCGCTGTGTAAGTACACGCCCGCGATCGATGGACCGATCGCGATACCCATGACTCCCTTTCTCTCCTCTTGCGCGCGTTACTGATCGGATCGACTGATAAGTCGACAGATCGATCGATCCGCCGATGTGGTGTCGCAGAAAGACGCGCCGTGTGCAACGGCTTTCGCTTCATATTGATCGCGGTCGGCTCAGTGGTATCGCGGTCGCAAATCTCGCGCCGATACAACACGCGAACGTGCGTGTCCTTGGGCGTTCACGAGGTGACCACCCACTGTACCCCGCGACGTCACTGACGTAATCATTTATCAATGAGCGCGCCGCGCGCCGATATTCCCCGACGGAAGTGATCATTAGCCGGGGGTATCGATGATCGCCGATTGGTGAGATCCGGCAGTTTATCGGCACCTTTATGTGCGCGCATACGCGCTTATCGAGTCATTGAGGCTGCGATTTACGATACCAAGTGTTCCATTTGTTTCTTGACCTGGCAGCAGTGGCACGGAAGGTGTTCCATCTCATTGTTATTTTTGCCTCGATGAAGAATTGTTTAAACGTGCTCAGCAATTAGTTATGTTTATCGCTGAGAAGCGAGTAGCGAGAAGCGCTACTTCTTAGATTTTCTAAAGATTTTCTAGAGCTACGGTTCTCCGTGCAAGCTGAGGAATATTTCCCTGCTGTCTTTAATTTATCGTGCTCCTTATTTTTTTATTTTTTTTTTAACACTTACAAATTATTTTATAACTTGTTTTGAGAGGAAACGATTTGGTTTCTGCAAATAATTTTTCAATGTTTACTTTTTAGTGATTTTATTAGATTTCTGATAAATCTTCTTCGATCCATTTCGACATCCATACTTCGGTAATCGCGTGTGTTTATCTTATCAGTAATTTCTTCAGTCGGCTTTATTTTGAATCGCTTCTCGATAGTTTGAAGATTGGAATTTTCTCTGCAACAGCATTAAATCGGCCACGCTATCGATCATTCTCCCTTATCACCGAGTCGGATCACCTTAAATATACAGGATGTCTATGGGAGATCCAATCTAACTCCAAGAACGTGTTTTACTGGTTCCCAAGATCGACCCAGATCCAAGCATCATGTACATGTCCGTATTTACAATCAGTTACGACTGTTTGAAATTCAACATTACATGTCAGACAATTTGTTCGGACATTTGGGAAACTATATCCATCCAGTTTATACGCACTTTAATTCCTTTCAGGAATTCTGATGAGCAAGATCATTTATATTCGAAGAAAAGTATTATCGAGAATGCTGACGAATTGCGCCGTAAAATAACAATTACTATACAAAATTTTGATTTGTCAAAAACATTATGTGCTAAATCCGTTCAAGTTATCTCATACTTCTACTTTCCAGTTAAGTAGATAAGTTTAAAGCTATATATATATATATATATA